ACTTGACTGCCATGACCTCTCAAATATTATGAAAGCAACTTTGGTTGCTTTCAATTAATGGTTCCTCATGCTTTGCTTGCGATGCAGATTCAAAATGCCTTGGCTTTAGCTCTTCCATTATGGAAGAAGTTGAACAATTCCTGAAGCTACCCTTGTCCCAGAAATGTGCTGTTAAGTTGGCTAGCCTTATGTGCGGTTTTTCTCATTTTGAATCATCACACCCTTTCACCCTTCCCCGAAGTGCCTAAAGAAACAGTGAATTTGTTGGACGTAGAGGAATGCAGTAGTTCTAATCAGGAGAGGAATAATTACTCTTGTCAGAATTCTCCTTTTGATTACTGCATGTGATAAAATAATCTGACATTTGCAAAAAGCAGAAAAAGCTCAAATCATCTTCAAATTTGGAAACTATCTTAGAAAGTCTTTCTCAAGCTGGTATATGGTTGCTTTCATTCACCAAGAGTGAACAGCTTATTGGGCCTAGGTGAGTTTTGAATCATGTGGTGGAGGACATTTAAAGCACGAATTTGGGCACTAGACTGCTGGTACCACTTCAGTACAGAAATCCTATGTTTCCAAGATGGCACAGGATGTTCCATCTAACCAGGGGAGATTTAGGTTAGATATAAGGAAGGCATTCCTTACCGTGAGAGTGGTGAGACACTGGAACAGGTTGCCCAAGGAGGTTATGAGTGCTCCATCCCTGGCAGTGTTCAAGGCCAGGTTGGATGGGGCTTTGAGCAACCTGGCAAGGGAGTTGGAACTAGATGATCTTAAGGTCCTTTCCAGCCCTAACCATTCCATGATTCCATGTATGGAGCATTTTCAAGGAACAGGCTGAAAGCAACCAAATGTTATTCAAGTGGCAGCTCTTAGTAAAATCCTTGGTTAGTATTTTGGCTGAAAATGGAAGAGGGGTTCTGTACTAGGTCTTTTTTCCATCCTGTCTGAGGGATTCTTTTGTTCTATATTCAAGTGGGTTTTTTCTGGTCTTACTCTTGTCTGCAAAGAGGGAAATCATATCTCAGTAAGGTACATTCAGTTAAGAGATAGAGAAATATATCTAATCTTTTAAATTAAGCTACAGTTGAGCTACAATAGGAGGCAAGGTAATAATTTTTTGAATGAATGTATGCTAAATATTATTTAATATTGACAGCCTTCTATAAGACTGAAATGTGGCATTCATTATTGGGGCAGGTCAGTTATTGGAAAATAATGTTTGAGTATGTTCTTGCGCTATTAATCTCATATTATGAATGATATGTGTTCCCTGAATGGTAGTCGCCAGCTGCGAAGTGATTGAAAACTGCAAAATATTTGGCCAAATGCTGTACAGATACCTCTATTTACTGCTTGCTTTTTGTCTTTTCTTTCCCTTCTGGCATTATTCCACTTCTCCTTCCCAGTGGTAGATCATGGCTTTTCTTTTCTTGAGTTGTCTTAGGCCTTTCCTCTTTTCTTTGCCTCTGTATATTTTTCCCCCCACTGTTCGTCCTCTTTATCGGTTTGTTTTTCTTCCTTTCCTAACATCTTTTTATATCCATCTCTCTAACTAGCTTCCCTTCCCTCTCCCCACCTACCTCCACACCCATTCATCCATGCATACGTTCGCAGAACTTGGAAATGTTAGCCGTCACCTGGTATGTTTGACCACAGAAATAACCACAAACCTGTATGAAAAATGGGGAGCCTGTTATCCACTTATAATACTCAGGTGAGAATCACTCTTCAGCTGTTGAGATTCCCTGCAGCTTGGTTTGTATCAGTCTCCAGTTGGTGTCTGAAATTTGAAGTTCTGCCTTCCTAATCTTCAGCTGCTGGAAGGCAGCATGAGCAGTTGCTCTAAAACCTCATTTCTAAAAACCACTTATTTTAAATTGTTCCCATTTCATACAGCTCTGCTCCATCATGGAAAACAGGGCTCCTGAGGGAGTTGTTTGCTGTTCTTAGCTTCCTGAACTATTGCTTTAGCCCTTCTGGTGAATAGACTGTCCTCTGTTGCTCAGGATGTTTCCCAGCTGAAGCAGCATGAAACAGGCCCAAACTGCTGCTTGTTTCATTGCTCCTAACTGAAGAGGTTGCATGCAGTCTTTCATAAATTTGCAGTTGCTGCTTGATTGGAGTTATTGAAAGGTTTCCCAATGAGAGGGGCAAGAAACTTTGAGAGCTGCAGAAGCTTTGGCATGAGCCAAGGGAGTTCCCCTGGGAAGGTTTCTGCAGCATCCTTGCAGTAACTTCTCATTCTAAAAAAGTCCCCTCCCTTGTATTGTCTAGAGGAAATAATGACAGGAGAGTGCTTTCAAATAGTTTATATTGATGCATGTAAATATTTCTCATGGAGATTTACACGTTTCCTCTCATTGCTACTGTTCTGAATAAACTAAAGGTAGCCACTTCCAATGCCAGGATTCTTCACGCAAGATGTTTTTCTGTAATGCTGTGAGCAGTGGAAGTGTATTGTTTTCCAGGACTGGAAAACAGACAGCAGTTGAGATTCCCAGTTTCCCTGTGTGCTGTCTGCCACTTTGCTGATTCTTAATATGATTCTTTCTATATTTGCATTATATTCACAGCAGCATCATACCAGTTGACTTTTTAATTACTCCTGTTCATCATTTTTTATTAGGTTTTACTGGCCTCCTGTGTGAGGAGAATATCAACAACTGTGATCCTGATCCTTGCCACCATGGGGAGTGTCAAGATGGAATTGATTCATACACATGTATATGCAATCCTGGCTACATGGGTGCTATATGCAGCGAGCAGATAGATGAATGCCACAGCAATCCTTGCCTCCATCAAGGGCGCTGCATTGATTTGGTGAATGGCTACCAATGCAACTGTTTGCTGGGCACGTCAGGTACAGAAAGCACAAGTGGAAGTACTGTATTCTAACAGAATTCAAGCATTTAATAATTTCTTATGTGTGCTCTGGTGTGTGCTAAATTTGCATACAGAGATAAGCTTATGGTATGACAGTATCATTTTCACATTACTTCTCCTTGCTGAATTTTGGTGTGGTTGTGTGGATTGCCTAACCTCACTGGTACTGCAACTGGTCTTGGAAGAATTTACCTCCTCTTTACTCCCAAAATTCAAGCATGCAGGAAAAAATAGGCATGGTGTTCAAGATGCTTTATTTGCTTGTTTAAACATTTAGTACAAGTTCAGTGTTATATTCAGTCAGCACCTAGTGACTTAGGCGACATTCCTTGGTGTCGCAATGCTTCTGCATCATCACCTGTTTAAGTTGCCCCAGTGTATGTGTAACTTTGAAGCAGATGGGATTCTTAATTTGGGTATTTCTGGGAAATAGTTTTGTTGTCATCTTTGTAAGAATTGGTCTTTTTATTCCTCTAACTTTTTTATTTTCCCAGGAGTGAACTGTGAAAATAACTTTGATGACTGTGCAAGTAACCCATGCATTCATGGGGACTGTATTGATGGCATTAATCGCTACAATTGTGCTTGCAAACCGGGATTTACAGGTAAAGTCAGCGACCCAATAGCTTTGAGTTGTTTTGAAGATAGTTATCTGGGTAGCTAAGGAAGCTGTTCTTTACATACTGACTGCAAGGGACTCAGTATCTTGGTAAATCCTTCTAGTCCTTGAACTTCAGCATCTTACATTACAGAAAGTTCTACCAAGCAGAAAAATGGTCTAATCTGTGCTGTGAAATGCCATTCTTGTTAGGCAATTACGTCTAGTTCATGGTTCTTGGTTTTATAACAAATAAACCCATGTGACTTTGGTTTATTATTTACAGCTTCTTTCCACAGGCAAAGAGACTGTGGACAATATAGAGGTGTTTGATTAGACAGTACCTTGGGCTTTGACCATGAACAGTATTTCTCTTTCCGTGAAAGCAAAGCATTATTAACTCGGTGTCATAATGAGCTGCTCTCCACTCTGAAGTCTCCAAGTGAATACTCTGCTTTTCTCAGTGCTTCTCTTTCAGAGTGTGTTCTGTTCTGTTTCGTTTTAAAATTATAAAGACTTGTCTAACACAGTAAAAGTAGGGCTGAGAAAAGCAGCCTTTAGGCACTGGTGTATCTATGCTTAGAACTGTAGATCTACATCAGGACTATTTCTGATGACTAAAGCACATCTCAGCACTGTTTATAATGGACTTAGTATGTTTTCAGCCATGTAGGGTAATGTGCTCATAGAATAATTGCTGTAAAGCAGTTGGTACCGTTTATAACAGTTTTCTCATCATGTTTGTTACTGTTTATTACTGAATGATTCTAATTAGAATTGATCTGAAATGCATTAGAAATAGCACTAAGAGGTTTCATGTGTCTTTTGCTTTTCTCTTGGCGTCTTTCTAAACTTCTGATGCTCCTTGGCTCTGGCATGGTGGTGCTCTTTAGTCCTCAGAACAGGAAGAAGCAGATCCTAATCACTCTTGCCTTTCAGCCTTTATTGTTGCTGGCATAACATATTTGTTATTCTACTGGACTTCTTACTGTTATGCTGTTAAAATAATTCAGTAATGATGAATTGGGATATTCCAGTATTTAAAGAGCTGGCTTGCATGGTGTCTCATTACTTTGTCCTTTCCTCATGTTAAAAATGCTTTCAACTTACTAAAACATTCACTTTGTTTAGCTTTCCAGCCTCACAAGATCTTATGGTCACTACTTCAAGAATCTTGCAGTCGTAATCAGAGGCAGGCAAAACAGGAAACGGTTTTTTTTAGAGTCCCTTTGCGCAATAAACCACAAGAACTATATTTACTGCAGACACTATGGCAGTATTGGTTGTTCAAAGGGTAGGTACTTTCAAAGCAGAAGAGCAGGGCTATGACAAGTGGAGCTCAAGAGGTTTGTTTCAAGCATGATACAGTTGAGTGATTTCTGCCTTCCTAATCGATATTAACCAGTGATTTTTAGTGGAATTCTGTTGAGATTCTTGAATGGCTTATAAATACTTGTTGACTGTAACTGCTGTTTTCCAGGCACAGAAAAGTGCTTCATCTTTAAAAAAATGCTTCTCTTGACTTCAGTTAAAGCACAGAGGCATGCAAGCTCTGTCCTGCTGCATTGGCTTTACTGACTTGTGTCTGAATGTATGTTCTCACAGACATGCACAGCAAATGGTCTTATAAGAAATACTTGTTATAAGTACTGGTTTTTTTTTCTAGGCCCACGTTGTAATGTGGACATTGATGAATGCACATCCAACCCCTGTCATAATGGTGGAACATGTATAAATGAAGTCAATAGCTTTCGGTGTGTATGTCCTGAAGGATACCATCATCCTCACTGTCAGTCACAGGCAGATGGCTGTCTTAGTAATCCCTGTGTACATGGCAACTGCACACATATTGCTAGTGGGTAAGTACTTACTGTCACATTAAACTTACCTGCTGCCTTCTCTACTTTCTTTTTTTTTTCTTGCTTTGCCCAGAGTTCCAACTTGATTTGAGGTTTCCAATTTTTCTCTAAAAATTTCTAAGATTAGGATCCAGACTTATTTGCTGCCCATGAAATAATTACAGTAAGGTGAAGATCTTTTGTCACCAGCTGCAGTCTGTGCTGTTTCAACACAGGTCTTTCTGTCCTGCATTGTGTTCTTTGCTGTCTTTGCATGGGCATATAGTGCAGGGTGGACTGCCGCCGTCTAAAGGGAGGGTTTGGCAATTCAAGTGAGTAGAGTAAATATAATTAAAATAAAGAAATAGTTCCAAATTGAATCTTTGTGGAGCAGCAGCTATCCCATCAAACTCTAAAATGTTAAGTGTGGGGACTGTTTTTATTGGCTAGTGTTGTTCTTGCTACCCAAATACTCTGTATGAAGGATCAGGCAGATAACTCTGGACACTGAGAGACAGAGTAATATTTGACTTAGAACAGTTTGCCCAAGGCTGATATTTTGTCAACTTTAGTCATATTGTTGCATGCCTGAGAGAAAGGAAAGCTCTTTCTGGCTTTTTTGATGGCAGTAATTAACTTTTGAATCTTCCCATCTGGGAAGACCAAATGTTGATTTCAGGAGCCCTGAATCAGACCTCTGTTTGATAATGATAAGTCTGGGAGGTCAGGACCTGTGGAGTCAACAGGTCGGGGAGGTAGGGCTTATGTCTGTGAAACTTCTCAACTGCATGTGGAATAGCAGTACTTCCCACTTGTGTGCTGTGTCCTGGAAAGTGTCAGAACTTGAGCAAGGAAATGATTTACCACTGCAGGTAGCTCTGTAGGGCAGGATTCAGCACTTTCCCTGGAGCTGGCTGGAAGGCTGCCTTTATTGGTAATTCAGCCTCTGTATAAACTTGGAAAACAAATGTTTTGGTTCATCTTGTCTTGTCATCTGTCTTCTGCATTCATATTTATGCCTATGTATACTTTATGCTTGGTGCCAGATAAAATGTCTTGCTTGCATGACAGGGAGGGAGGCCAGTGTGTGTGTTGTGTGTCCCGAGTCCAGGGTGACTCACCAAGTCCTTGGTTCTATGTCATATGGGTGGAGCACTGCTCTACTTCGTATTTTTTAATGTGATGGAGAAGATTGCTCCTGCTCCCAGCCAGCTGTTTTCGTTTGTAACCACTACTTTGTATTGAATCAGTCTAGTTATCTTTGGAACCTATTGTTCCCTCCACTTCTTTAATCTTTTTTTCTTCTGTCTTTGTTGAAATGTGTTGAGATGGTCTTATCAAAGCCGAAACAGATTGCTGGTTGACTGAGCACTTTGTGAAAACTGTAACGGAGGGAAGTCTGGTTTTAAGGGAGGGTTTATTTTCAGTGTTTCTAAAACTGTACATCTGGGGTAAGCAATCTAAATGTAACTCTCCTAAAGAGACATCTTCTACTTTTTTCTCCAAAACTAATCTGCAGGAGAAACTGGAAAAGGAGTTATTTAAGAATGTTCTAAAATTACTGCTGTTTCTGCCTTTAAAGGTACAAGTGTGTATGCGACCCAGGCTGGATAGGAGATTATTGTTCAACAGAAGGGAATGAATGTAAATCAAACCCATGCCAGAATGGAGGAACCTGTGAGGATCTGCTGAATGGATATAGATGTACCTGTAGGAAAGGATTTAAAGGTGAAAATTCAGAGAGAAGTTTCTGTTCTTTTATCTTTCCACTTCATTGCACCATTTTAATTTTTTTATTAAGCTTTATGGAGATAGGAATCAGAGGCAAAATGCCAGGGTTGTATAAAGTTTGATTACAGTCAGTTCATATAGACATTATAGTAGAATAATTAGTATCTTAATATCTAAGCCTTGTTTGGATTCATCAAGAAATGTCCTGGTGGCAGCTCAGCTCAATTTTCTTTGTAAGAAAGTTAGGCTGAGTTGTGTAAGTTCACTGTGAATTGAGGGGGCATTAAACTTGGAATTACCATGACTGCTGTTTTTTTGTACCCACTGAGTTCATGATGAGTGCTCCAATCCCCTTTTCTTTCTGCTGAGATTTTTCAAATATGGAAATGCTGTCCACTGCTGTGTAGGATAATCATGCAAGTTACAACTCTTCATTCATTTCTTCCAGAAGCAGCAAGCTCTTAGCAGCATATTCTACTGGTTTTTCCCTTCTGCTCTCCAGGTGTGAACTGCCAGGTGGTGGTTGCTCCTTGTTCCCCTGATCCTTGTGAGAACTCGGGAATTTGCCAAGAATCTCCTGACTCTGAAAGCTACACCTGCCAGTGTGCCCCTGGCTGGGAAGGTAATGTGGGTGGAGAACATACTATACATTCAACACTGAGTGGTATTGGCATTGAGCCTTTTGACCATTGCCTTCTGAGGGGTCTTAATTCTGGACTCTCTGTGTTTCAGGGGAGAGATGTACAGTGGATATTGATGAATGTCTCTCCAAGCCCTGCAAAAATCATGCTCTGTGCCATAATATTCAGGGCAGTTACCTGTGTGAATGTCGGCCAGGCTTCACTGGAGGAGACTGTGACAGTAACATCGATGACTGCCTTTCAAGTGAGTATCAGCAGATTGTTCTGTTTTCCAGTTTTCCCTAGAAATAGTTTTGCTGTTCTGTTGATGACTGATATTTGACAGTTACTGAAAGTTCTTTCATAACTTCTTACCAAACAGATAAAAACAACCAAACCTTAGCTTTGTAAGACTTGTATAAGACAGTCAAAATCCATCATGATCAGCTGCTAGAAATGGGCTACAGTGTTCTGACTGATAGCAGTTGTTCCCAGATTCTTAACTTGAAAAGGTCCTTAGAATTTACATACTTTAATAAAGAGCACTGTTAAATGAAGAATTATATTTGCCTGAAATTTTAATACACCAAGTTAAAGTAACACTGCAGGGCTTACCTGTATTTCAGCATCAAGCTTGATTGAGGTGTGGTGGGAATCTGGGGGATAGCAGTCTTCCCTGAAAAGCCTCTGTCTGACATTAATATTCTGGAAAGGATTGGTCCTGTTGCTCTTCTGGTTATCCATTTGATTTGAAATCACATTAATCAGGAGGAAGGCCTTCTGTTCCAGAACAGTTATCAGTTGCAGGAGAATAGCCCATATGCAGATGAGTACTGAAATGGTTTAAATTATGAGAAAGCAAATGTTAATTTCATGGCCTTGACACTGCTGTTTACAAGGGAAACCAAATACATAGTAACTTCTTTTTCTTGCTGGGCATATTCTGTATAATCATCAGATAAAATCAGAGTCTCCTGAGAAGTGTCATGTGTTTTGAAGTTCATCTGTTACTGTTTGAAAAGTGCTTTATCAAACCTTGGAGAAGTTCACAATGGCGTAATTTTTAAATTAGCTGTCTCTTTTACAAATGAATAAGTAAATAAACCCCAAACCCTATAATTTTTATTAGAATGCCTTAAAACCAAACCAAAGTCTTAAAGACTTAAGGTATGAATTTAGAGAGTTGTGTTTTGCATTGAAGAAGATTTTAAGTTTGTGACTGCTGTAGAGTAGGATCCAAACAAGTCTTACTATTAGCAAAAGTTACCGTGGGAGACCCCAAAGCAGCACTGCTGAAAGAACTGCTGAAACATCTGGCTCAGCCTGAGCTTTTGATTGCCTTTCTGTGCAAACAGGTAGAATACAAAAAATGTCACAGTGCATTGACCCAGAGCATTGCTTACTGAAGCCAACAAAATTATTGCTTGTCCTGTTAGTTTTTATGTGGGTGTCTGAAGATAAAAACATTTTTAAAGCATTCATCTTTCCGTCTTGAACAGCTGGGAAATCTCTCTTTATTCCTAAGTATTCTGAGAGCTGTGAGATTCATCCTGTGTTGTCTGTTAGGCAGCACACCCAGGAGGCTGAAGAAGAATTTCAAATTACTGCTACAGCTGATTTCATTTAGCATAACAAAAACCTTCTATGGCTTGAGCCAAATGTCTTTAATCTGTGAAGTAAACAAACCCTCCAACAACAAGAACTTATTGAAAAGTTGATACTTGACTCTCCTTTTTCTGTCAGTAAATGTGTGGCACAGAAAATTAATGTGCAGCTTTTGACTTTAGTCATAAATGGCTGACTGCCATAGACACAACATTTTATAGCTACCAGGGGTCTCACTTTGAATGTGCTTTTTCTCTCCAGTAGTCATATGACCTTTAAATGGATGCAGGTGTGTCTGTTACAACACAAATTTATATCATGTGAGCATATTTCTCAGTTAATAAATGAGATTTAATTACCTTTCACATCTGTTTCCTTCATTTACCAGTGAACAGAATGATCTTGTACTTATGTTGAACTGCAGACTTTTGGTGGATTCTATTTGCATTTTCAAGTTTGTATTTTAGTATTACTTAAAGATAGTCAAAGATAAAAAAACTGCTCTGTAACTTTTTTTTTTGGTTTTTTTTTTTTATCCCCCTTCATGTTTGCCCTTTTCCTCTCCCTTCCCAGTTTCTCTCTCTGCCTTCATATACATAGGCTTTTGGTCTAGGGAATGCAGAGTAGAAAAAGAATCTGACTACAGAAGCAATATCCAGTAGAGGAAAGTGGGTCTTAAGTCCAAAAGTGAAAGGAGCAAAACAGGAAGAAACTACTGAATGGCAGAGAGCTTTCAGGCAGATTGATACTCGTGGGAGTAGAAGGAATACAGTAGTAGGGGGTGGCTTAGACCAAAAAATGGTCATACACAAGTAGCAAGGCCATGGTAGGGATTAAAAAAAGGCAAGAAATGCAGAGATGAGGAGAATCTAAGGTGGTGTATGAATTTGTGATTTTTTTTTCTGCCATCCATTCACCAATCAAGCTTTGATACTTGGAAAAGTGCTAAGTGCTCAGTAATGTATAAGTGCTCATGTAGATACTAATATACACATTTGATTTGACTGGATTGCTTTCATGCTTAAAATTAAGCACACAAGGTCTCTCGTGTTGAGCAGTGTCTGGAAAAGAAAGAATGGGCTTAGTTCTCTCATGAATAAGAATTGGTAAGGAAGAAGAAACAGTTGCTGTGCTGTTTGTATTTATCAGACATTTGTCAAAAAAGCAAAGTTTGAATTTTAAACAAAGAGACTGTGGGTCAGGTTTTGTTGGTTTTCATTGAGCAAATCCCAGCAGAGAAATCTTTAGGCCCTGAAGCTTGATCTTGATCCATACCACATTATGAATTCGTCATTGATAATGCTTTGCAATTATCTTTTCCATAAAGTGGCTCAGAAAACCTTGTCAGTGAGTAGTCTGTCACACTCTATGTTGTGTGATACTTTTTTCTAGAAGCTACTACTCTAGGCCTGGCCTTTGACTGTTGCCCGTTGTAATACTTAATGTGATGCTTCTGTCTCAGATCCCTGCCAAAACGGAGCTTCCTGTGTGGATGGAATAAACTCTTTCTCGTGCATCTGCCTACCTGGGTTTCATGGAGATAAATGTCAAACAGATACCAATGAATGTCTCAGTGAACCTTGCAGAAATGGAGGCACATGCACCCACTATGTCAACAGCTACACATGCAAATGTCAGCCTGGGTTTGAGGGAACCAACTGTGAGAACAACATTGATGAATGCACTGAGAGGTGAGATAACTTCACTGTGCTGCTGCACAATGTCAGTCTACTCTGAAGCAGTTTTTAATGATGAGGATGTTTTCCTGCCTTTTGTCACTGGGACATGCTTGTGATTCCTGCAAGGAAAACTTGCTTGCCTTGTGCAGGGTATCAGCTGAAAGACAGCTGCCTGCCAAGGTGGGTCTTCAGTTTGCACAACTAGTTAGAAACTTCATTCCATTAGAGGAGGAATATGGCAGTGTTTTGCAAACATTGAGACAGTAGTAGATGATAGCTTATTAAAACATAAATAATTTTAATTTTATAAGATCATTATCATATAGCAGAGGAGAAATAATTGATCAGTTATGAATAGTTGCTGTCTTGAGAACTACAAAAGCTGCAAAAATGGAAGCAATGACCAACTCTTAGAAAGACGAAAAAAAATAAATTAGCCCTGAGTTATTGATAGCAAATAATATGAAGAAGCAACCAGGAAGAAAACTAAATCCACAAATTCTGTACTAGTAGGATTTAATCATCAGAGATATTTTAATGCTCACAAATTGGATGTGGTTTAGCAATGTTGAGATAAAACCTGAGGTCATTCTAAGAGGGAGGTGTGGAACTGAGTTAAAATGCTCAACAATTGGTCCTTACAGAAATGGTTGACTTGGTAGTTTTAAAAGTTCTTTGAGAGTTAACCCTGAGTATCCATCATCTGCCTGCATATTTTTTTAAGCTTTGTAGGATCGATGTAAGTAACATCAGATTCTCAAATAGAAACAATTAATAATAAAGCTTGAAATGGTTAAAGAAAAGTTTTAAAACCTAGTCTGTTCTAGTCTAAGTACCAGGAACAAATAAGGTGCCTAATGGAAGGCTCTTGGTAATCCATGCATTTTCTGTGCATGAAAAAAAGATCTTTCTTATCTTTTATAAAATTGCACTTGTGTGGGAGGAAGTATTTTAATATCTTTTGCATAAGAACAGGATTGTGTCACTGATGAAGGTATGTTTAATTTGCACAACAGTTGTTTAATCAAGTATGTTGGGTGTTTAGCCTGGTTTCTTCCTTGGGGTTCATCCTGTTTTTGTTTTCAATATCAGTCAGGACAGAAACCAGTCTTGCAGGTATGAATGAAGGATGTAGCAATTTTCAATGCTCCACCAAGCTAAACCAGTCACACCTTCTCAACCAGAATTTACTGAGCTGTACTTAAGAGCTCCATGATGGTTGGCTAATTTGAATTTGGTTCAAATAATTCTTCCATGTCTTGTGTGAGAAACCGCCTGTGAGAGAGTGCCATCTCCTTTTGGAGGTGGGTACCTGATTTCAGTGAAATACACTAAGTGATTGACAGTTCGTCTGCCTTCTCTTCCTTGTTTTGCCTTAAATGTAAACAGCAGTTTCTGCTCTGTGTAAAAAAGAACTCAGCCCACAAGGCAGAGGAACCTATCTCTGGTAAACAGGTTAACATTGACATCTTTACTGTAATCACAGTCAGAATTTAGATACTTAAAACTTGCACCCTTGTGCTGGCAGTTGAGGGAGGTGTGTCAGTGGCTTCTCTTGTGGAAGTACCCTTTGAGAGTGCACAAAACAGGTAATAAGCATGAATTAGTTTTCTGTACGTTATCAAACTGATTATCTTGAGTCTGATCTAGGGTTATTTTCAGAGAAGCAGGAGTTTCCTGGCAGGCATTTATTTAGAAAGAGAAAGGAGTCAGTTTTGCATGAGTCATCACTTCTCCTAACTTTCCCAGTTACTTCTCCATAGGACACCTAATCTGGCAGAATTTATCATCAGAAGGCTGGGGGGAGGGGCATAATTCCTTTGATCTGAATTCTGCCAGGGCATGTATGAGTAGTTTTACTAATCAAGGACTTAAGGTTCTCATGAGAAGAGGAGAAAGGGATTTAGTAATACCAATACTTTCACATAATTTCAGTAAAGAACATGCTTGTATTTTGCATGTTATATGAACTTTTTCCTTGAGAAAACATACTTGTGACTCCTTTGAAGCTTTAAAAAAATGAAAATTGTTTTGTTTCTCAAAATTTGTAATTTGTAATAAAATTTGTATAAAATTTATCATTTTGAGCAAGCCACATGCTTACCTGGTACAGTTCTGTTTGTGGTCAGATTGAAGCTGAGAAGATTTCATTAAATAAGTTACCTCCATCACTAATGACTCATTGAAACCCTGCTTTTTCTCCTGACAAGGTAAAAGACAGCGAGCTGGAGTCCCCTGAACTTGCTGTTACCTGATTTATGCTTCTTTATCAGGATGTTACCAGTGGTCAGAAGATCCTGTAGTCTGTTTTTCTCTCTCATTTCACTAATGGTTATGTGCTGGTTTGGCTCTAAGCTAATTGCATTTTGTCTCAGCTTACCCTTGTTCTCACTGTTTTACAGCTCCTGTTTCAATGGAGGTACTTGTGTGGATGGGATTAATTCCTTTACTTGCCAGTGTCCGGTGGGGTTTACAGGACCCTTCTGCCTCACGGAAATTAATGAGTGTGATTCACGTCCTTGTTTGAACAAAGGCTCTTGCGTGGACAGCTTGGGCACATACCGATGTATATGTCCTTTGGGTTATACTGGGAAGAACTGTCAGGTGGGTCATGTTTTCTTGCCCATTTTGCACAGGGCACTGTTATTTGAACTGTCCTGCAGCAGAAGTGACTGGGTTAGATGTAGGTCCCAAACACACAGAGCTCTTGTTCCTTGTTAGATGTAGGTCCCAAACATGCAGACCTCTTGTTCCTTCAGTTCTGGTAAGAGGTGGTCTCTGTCAGTGTCTCTGACAGAGCATTCAAAATTCTGGAAATTGAGTGTTTGTTTGCAAGGAGGAGAAAAATGCTTGGCTCCTTATGAGACCAGGCATCATTGGAACTTTCTAGATTAATTTTCTCGTTAAATCAAAACCAGCTGTTGGCTTTGAAAATGGCTGCATTTCATTTGAAACATAAAATTGCCCGGATTAACGGCAGAGTCCTGTATTTAAAAAAAAAGTGTCAAATAAACACAAACCAGAAAACAGAATGTCAGTCTGATTGATTAGCAGGACCATGATTTAACTGCTTTATTTTTTTTACAGGGAGCTGTAGTTATTCTGGGTAGATTGTAGACTTTTTTTATGTCAGAGGCCAGAAAACGTTTTGGGGCAGTAACTGATATGATTGTCCTGCTCACAACCTCAATAAAAAGCTCTAGTCTTACTTGCAGACTTAAATTCAGGCAATTTACAGTTTTCCACAGCTGAGCATAAGAGCTGCAAACCCTTTCTGTAAATGACTAAGTAGTACCTATTAAAAATTTGTCATATCACAGTGGAAACAGAATGCTGATTTAATTTTTCAAATCAGAATTTTTTTCTTATTATTCTATGCTCATCAAAACAGCAAGAATGATTTGAGACTATTTCTAGCTTTGGAACAATAAACACTTTATTGGCTTCCTTCATAAGTAGTCAAAGTGCTGCCGTTTAAAAAAAACAACTGTGCATTTCTTAAACTACTGGAAAACACTACAGTTTAGTAAGAATTTTGCAACTGTCTTTCATGCCAGTGTGTCTTTGCAAAGCAGTGTTTGTTGGAAGAAGCATTGTAGTAGCAGTGGGGGAGGTGCTTTCCCTGAAGTATGTTGCTAGACATTATAAATTGTCATGTCTGCTTCTAGGTATTGCTAATGGAGGAAGTGAATGCAAAGTAATGAAGTGATATAAAAAAGCAACCCCTCTGCAACCCTAATTATGCATTCTGGGCACACCACTTAAACCTCATTGGGAGAATTAGCATTGAGATTGATTGTAAAGTACTGTGAAGTTCAGTAGTTCCTCGTCTGTTGTGTTTGCTTTGTTTTTACTTGAGAAAAAGATTAATTTTCCTGTCCCCAAATTAAATATTGGGGATTCTCAGAAAGTTTGCTTTACGTTCAGAGAAGCTTGATCATAATGTATTACTCATTTGATACAAGGAATCAGAACTTTCTAAATTTATAAGTACTATTCAAAGCTGTATTGGCGAGATTTACAGACTACAGCTACACTCTAGTTCTTGTCTTAGTGGTAAACTGGCTTGACCTAATTAGCAAAGCTAAATAAGCAGCACAAAATCAGACAATGATTCATAAGTTGTAGAATTTGCATGTAAAACAGTCAGGTACTCATTACAAATGCAGAAGCAAGAGGCTTGGTGTTTTTCTTCTTCACGCTCAACTACATGTGATAAAACTTAATTCCAAGTTTCTTTTTGGTTGCCTGTGAAAGCACAGATTTTTCTAATCTGTGTGAGGAGACAGTTTGCATCTGAAAAGCAGAACTTTCTGCAATTGAATTTGCATTTTACAACCAAAATCCAGTACTACTCGCTTTTAAAACCTTATCCTTCCCTCAAGTCAGATTGAAATCAAATAGCTGTATTACCTTGAAGACTAAGTTCTCAAAAAGGAAATTATGGTTAGTGGCTGGTTTATATTACATCAGACAGAGTTATTTTGGGTCCTCACTCCACTTTCATATGATGATTTACTGAATTTTAGTCCATTTGTTTGGAAACTGTTGGTTTGTTTTTTGGTTTTGTTTTTTAATATAAGGAATCAAGTGAAGCAATATGCTTTGCCCCATCTTCAGTTATGAAACAGTTTTGGGATTTCAAGTGGATCTCAGGAGACAGGGAAACCATACCAGAGCAAATGGGGCGAAAACCAGGTGGAGTGAGCTAATGACGAAAAGGAAAAACAAAGCTCAAAATACAAAGCACATCTGTCATCCTCAATAAGCAGTGAGGACAGAAGGAGTTTGAGAGACGAAAGGGCACTTGTTACTGTTGATAGCTGGAAGCTTCCTACTTATGTAGAACTAGAAGCCTAATCCAAGATAAAACTGAATTTTCTCCAACCCAACCAGTCAAAAATCCCTCTGCAGAGGATTAGCTTTTACTCTTCAAATGATGCTGCCATCTGGGGTTTGCTTCTTTGTACATTTGTCCTTTCCTAGGCAAATGAGACCATCAGTGAAGCACCTGGCTTAGACTTGGGAAGTACTGCCCCTTTCTTTCCATTGCCACATGGCGCCAGTTATGCAGAACTTCCTTTCTTTTCTTCTTGAGCTTGTACTCTGAGTTGTGTTTCCTACTGCAGTTGCCATATATGATGTAGTATTTTTTTTCTCTTCAGGCACTTATGGATCTGTGCAGCAAGTCTCCCTGTAAGAATAAAGGCACGTGTGTCCAACATGGAGCCCAGACTCGATGTGTCTGTCCATCTGGCTGGACTGGTGCTTACTGCGATGTGCCAAATGTCTCCTGTCAAGTGGCAGCTTCGCGAAGGGGTAAATAGGCATTGTCTGTGCTTTGACTGAAAACATTTCCCCATGCATTATTAATCTCCACCTCCTTTCCCCATACACCTGTGAACACAGCATGCATTAGAAGTCCCAGAGAGCTTTGCCTGTAGGTGGTCAATCAAGATCACTTCTGAGCTAAAAAGCTCTCTGCACGGTTGTATTTGGGAGTCAAGGCTTTCCTGGTTGTTCCTGACATAAGAATTCTACCATAAAAATATTAGAAAAGGAGAATTAAATATTTTATGAAGTCTCAGAGTTTCAGTAATAGTTTCACATAGACTGCCTTTTTGGATAATACATCAGCTATTTATACCTTTCTGCTAAATCCCAGGCAGGGCAGGTTTAAGACATGTTGCCCTTGTACAAGAAAGGCATCTCGGAACTCATGATCTTTGTAAGTATTTTCACAGAGAATACTGGCTACTAAGTGTGCTATTTATCTATATAGGTAATTCCATGGTGCCTCAAGGTAGTAATTTCCTGCTTCAGATGATATACATGGAGAAGATTTAGGTTTGAAGTTAATTTCTTCCTGGAAGGTGACTTGTACCCCAGACTGATAGACAGTGTCATGCCATTTTCAGTCCAGGAAATCCAAACAAGCAGATTCAGTGTGAAAGGAGAAGGATACTTCAGTATCAGATGATATTCAGTATCAAAGGAGAAGCCCCAATACCTTTTTGCAGACATTCTAGGTACAAACATTGAACCTTTGTACTGCAACAGTAGTACTTCAGATGTGTATTCACCAGCCAATGTTAAAGTAATACACCAATACAGATACTTTAGGTCAGTGTTGATGCTGATAATCCAAGGGAGTCAGAGCAGTGACTTCATTTGGAAGTCAGTTGTGGTTCAGACCCACTGTAATTTAAAGAGTAACTCTTCAATTTTTGAGATTCAGCTTTTCAATATGTTGGGTCTAACCGTATTAATTCCTGGCTGAGCTGCCAACGCTGGCAGCAAGTGTTTTTTACATGGTTGCTCACTTTATTTAACTTTGTTTCAGGAGTCTCAGTGGACCAGTTGTGCCAGCACTCTGGTCATTGCCTCAATGTGGGAAACACACACCACTGTCAGTGCCAAGTGGGTTACACTGGCAGTTACTGTGAGATGCAGCTGGATGAATGTGACTCCAGCCCCTGCCAGAATGGTGCTACCTGCCGGGATCACCTGGGTGGATACCAGTGCGAGGTAATGCATGGTGTTTTAGCAGGAAGAGGTCTAAATATTTAAGAACATTGTAATGCAAAGGAATCAAAAGAAATCAGAAACACATGCAAGTGGTAGAATAGCTTCAAAGAGGAGATGAAAGCAACCTGCACCTGGAAAGAATTTTTAATTTAGCTGTGGCTGAAGCAGTGCTCCTGAGAGGCTTTTAAAATGGAATTAGAGGTGTGATCATAAGCAGGTGTGGTTGATGAGCATTTGCACTCCTTGCCTCTTTGGAGACGGAGTTCTTATCTTGAAAGATTTTTTTTGCCTGAGGTGTGATTTATATTAAAATATATGTAGAATGCATTAAAGGAATGTTGTGTTCTCCCTACTGGGTGGGCAAAGTATCCCTTGCCTCTCAGGGTGGGGATGCCTTCCACTGCTTTCTCTTTCCTACAGCTGATGAAGAGAGCAATGTAGACCATGAGATTATGGTGTATCAACATTCCTAAGCTTTTCAGAATGGTAGAACACCTTGGAAGCTCATGGCCAGAAGGAAAGGATGAGTTTTATGTAAACCTTAAGTCAAAACTCCTAAGCCAGTCTCAGTGCTAGAGGGTGTCAGGATTTGATCACTATATTTTGTAGGAATAAAGGCACTCAAATTCAGTCATGCAGTGTGCTGTTGAGTAGTCACATGGTCAAGTTGTGTGCTTAAGCTGGCTGGCTTTGCAGCCCTTGAAATCACTTGCACTTGTATAGCTACAAAGGCAGTCATAATCTGTCACATTGAGGGCTTGTTTTGTCTATGTTAGCCTTTCAAAGATGCCTACCAGTGTATCTGTTAGAAGAAGATTATTCACACTTATTTTTATACTGGCAGTGTGTGCCTGGGTACCAGGGTGTCAACTGTGAATATGAAGTGGATGAGTGCCAGTTTCAGCCCTGCCAGAATGGAGGAACATGCATAGACCTCGTCAATCACTTCAAGTGCTCCTGTCCGCCAGGAACTCGGGGTATGTAGCTCAGCAATTAAGTGAATGTTACAAGAGTTAATTTTCCTTTCTGACTAGTGGTTTCATAATGCAGAGTCTAAAGGGAATGCATTATTTTCTTTGAAGAATGTTCCCAAAGTGCACTGAATCCCTTGAGATCCATATTTTCCCTTTAAAAATAAATGCAGCTTTTTTTTCCCTGCCTTTTCTTTCCCCACCTTTTTTCCCCCCCCTTCTTTTTTTTCTTTTAAAAGAATAGGTCATTACAGTGTCCTTTGGGAGTGTATGATCCATCTTTGGCAATGGGGATGGATGAGATTACCATTAAGGTCTCTCTCAACCCTATCTGTTTTGATGTAGTAAATTCAAGGTTTCTTTTTGGCTTTGATGCTATAAAATGCACGGAAAACTTGCTTAGTTCTTACATAAAGTTCACAGCATTTCCAATGTCTTTTACTTGTTTAAATTTTTGTCCTGCATTGTCCTCTATCCTGGTCTCTTTTGTGGAAAGACTGCCCCCATGGCAGAGGGGTTGGAACTAGATGATCTTTAAGGTCCCTTCCAACCCAAACCATTCTATGAGTCCATCAGTGTTCAGTGTCTCTAAGCTAGCTTAAACTATTTTGGCAAATTCAGGCTTTTATTAAAAGTTTTTTTGTTGTTGTTTTTTTTTTTTTTAAATGTCCACAGTTACATGATGGTGGTTTTCAGTAACTATGATTCCACAGCCTGTTTGATGTCTTGTCTCCTGAAACCTAACCTTCCATTCCCTGTTACATCTCACATGATGGCTCTGACTTCTCCCTTTTAAATTATTCAGGATTGTGCATTTTTAACTCCTCGGTGAATGCTTTCTTGCTTTTTCTCTTAAGTTTATTTCTCAAGTCAGCTAAAAATTTTGCATTCCTCTGAACTTACTTTTTCATTCTGAAGTGTGTCATCTCCGGGTACACAAAATCTCCAGATGTTTGTCAGATACAACTAAATTCTTTGTTCATAAAGTAAGTTTAAGTAGAACTATAAAATAATCTAATATATCTGCCTCCTGTCCATGCATATTACCAGTTCATTCACTTCAGTATGACTGTCAGCCCAACTCCCCTGTCTGGTTAAGTGTTTATTTCATTGTAGATCATTGCATTAGCAATTCTTCATGTATTGTTCTTAATTGTATTGTACTGCTTTTAATTCTTCAGTCTTTATTTGTTCAGACGGGTTACTTTTTGGATGTGACAGGTTTTTGGGGTTTTTTTGGTAAATGAAAGGCATTAGAGGAGACTGATACAAAAACTTACGATAATTTATGACTTATCTTTTATTCCTCGCCCAGTTTGAAACGAGTGCTTTAATGCTGCCAGAGTAAGCATATTCCATGTTTAGGTGAATGACTTGTTCCAGATAAATCAACATTATTAACAGACAAAACTACTTCTCAACTTACCCTCTCTGTCTCGTTTCACCTGTTTTATAGTTGTGGTGAAGGCAGAACCAGTACAAGACATTGTCTCTTTACAGGGAACCTTGTAGGGAGAGGGAGAAACTTCCATTTCTTCTCATGGTGTTGAGAGTTTACTGTAGATCCCCAGACGTCAAACTGCAGGAATGGCATGCTGGCCAGCAATCTGTGTTTTATCACAGTCATTCTTCTGTTGGTTTGTTGTTGCTTGTTTTAATGTCGTTGCTACAAATGCTCTTTACCAAGTTACAGGGTTACCGCCACATAAAATGAATGGTGGGAAGCAAACAGCCTTGCAAGGACAGCACAGGGCTCTAGCTATGTTCAGTCACAGGGCTAAACTGAGTGCATCTTTTTTGGTTTTGTTTTGTTTTCTGCTTTTTAATTACGTCCTTAAATTAAGTCAAACATGAAAGCTGCTAAATACCAGTATGACCTACCACTGAGAACAGCTTGGATCTAAAACGTGTGCTCCCTCGGTCTGATCTGAGGCTGTCTGTCTGCATGGGGTATGGATTGCATTAAATTGGGATCTTTACCTGTTTGTGTCAGGCACTGTGTGCGACATGGTCTTAAAACTTGATGAGCAGTTTAGGAAATGAAGCCATGACACTTTTTACTGTCTCGGCAGGCCGTTTCTGTGAGGAGAACATCGATGACTGTGTTTCGGACTCAGGAGTACCTCACTGCTTCAATGGAGGGCAGTGCATTGACCAGATCGGGGGCTACAGCTGCATTTGTCTCCCAGGCTTTGCAGGCGAGCGATGTGAGGGAGATATCAATGAATGCCTCTCTAACCCTTGTAACCCTCGTGGAAGTCTGGACTGTGTTCAGCTGATAAATGATTATACATGCATCTGTCGTAGTGCTTTTACTGGTGAGTAGTTGTAAACATGCTTCCAGTTTCAGAGTAGTATCTTGAAGAATGGTCATTCTTTTCCTTTCTGGCAGTCATGTTATCTAGTTGCTTCCCCTTACAATATCTGATGATTTCCTTACACCAAGTCTCAGTTTTTAAAATAATCTTTTAAACCTTCTAATAAATTTGGCTTCCAGAGCTGTCTCAGACAAAGGAATCTCCTGAGACTCCTGGCTGCTAGGATTTTTTTTGTGTGGTATTTTTCTCTCCTTCATAATTTCACATTTCTAATATCGGAAGTGTAACTGTTCATCTGTCAGCTTCTCCATGGATTTTTCTTTTGCAAAGCAGCATATGAATTTTCTCTGTAAATCGTGGTATCTATAATTAGCTTTTGGCCTCCTTTTCTACTCCTTGCTCCCTTCCTTCCTTACATTGGTGATGTGGTCATGATGGAATACTGTGTGCATAGACAGACCGTACATTCCTGGCTTAGTGATGTGATCCTTCCACAATCCAACTTTGAATCACAACTTTGCAAGAATTTCACACTGAGAAAACTTATGTGTCACTCTCTCTAGGTCTCTTCATTGTTACTATTGCAGCTATTTTGCTGTCTGCCTCCCACTGGGCATAAACTTGGGCTAATAGTCTCTGCATGTATCTTAACTTTTAGCTTTCCAGTTTCCATGTCAGTTTAACTTCTTGTGTAATCAGTTTTCCTCTGTTTAAACCTTTCACTTTCCCTGCTTACCAGTGACCTTCTCTACGCACTTTACCAGCAGTTTTTACTCTTTTTTTTTCCTTAAAATGTAAAGCTGCTATGATTTTCCACTAAATTTGCGAGTGTCAGATGCAAAGAAATCATGAAGACATACTTTTAAAGAACTAATGTGGTAGTTTTAAATGCATTATCTAGACTGACAAAAATTTCCTAAAAGAGAGGCTTATGAGGGAAGCAGAGCCAGACTAGCTAGTGGAACACCATTGCTGGTTATCAGACAGGTTAATACTTAAGTCTTGTCTGTTAAGGTTGCTTTTATGAATTATGCCTCATGTTGCTTCTGGCTTTCATGGAAGGGTTGCTGGAACTTGCAGTGTGGAGAGTGCTGCATCCCTAGGAGGAGCAGGGAGAGCTGCTTTGTCTCAGACATGAAATCTGTCTGGAAATGTTAGGCAGAGAGGGGGAGCATGCTTCTTCCACTAGCTGTTCATCTTCAGTGCATTCCACATTGACCCTTCTGCCTGGGAGGGGATGGGGTGGCTTTGCTGTGGTTTGTGACTGATAGGATGCCAGGACTCCACGGGCCATCCTGTCCTGTCTGCTCTTGTCTGCAAGCAGTCGCTCTTGGCTGTACATGTGTATAGACTTCTGTTAATGTTTTCCTAGGGGATCAAGTCATGCTTAAGTCATCCTTATCTTTTTAAAGTCTCATGTCAGAGTTTGAGTCTGGGAGCTGCTGCAAATGCTAGTCAGTACAGTAAGACCTCTGTCTAGCTGATCAGTTCTGAGGAAAGCCCACTTGCTTGTCTTAGTCACTCATGTTGCATCTGGTCCTGAGGGTTGTGCATTCATGGTTAGAGTGTGATGTCCCTTTGGACTCACTGAGCATGTCCAAAAAGTAAAGAAATCTTAGGAACCCCCAAACTGATGTGGTACAGCACCTTCAACCTCTGTGACTGGCTGACTCTGGGGATGACAGCAACAAGTTCTGTCTTTGTGGTGGATTGCACACATTTTTTAGGAGGCAGACAAGGTGGGCTTCTCTGGATACGCCTTGTGGATTCCGAGTTGTTCCTTCCTCTACCATTACTTAGGCAGCTACTAAAAGAGCATGTGTTTATCTGAAGAGATATTCCCTACCTCTTTTGCTTTGTGATGGCTTTTTGATGTGCACATTTCTCTGCTCTCTTCTCCCTGTGTGTCCACATCTCAGGGCGTCACTGTGAGAGTGTCATAGATGTGTGTCCCCGGAAGCCTTGTCAGAATGGAGGTACCTGTGCTGTTGCCAGCAATATGCCGGATGGGTTCATCTGCCAGTGTCCGCCGGTAAGCACCATCTCCTGAAACTGGATTGACTGCTTCAGCTGTAGAGTTCTCTGGCTACAGTCTCATTAGTTTCACTGGTCCACTGTAAGTGAATGTTACCTTTCTGTACTGCTTGCAAAACTGTCTCCTTGGACGCCTTTTATGCACATCCTTTAGTTTGTCTGCTTAGCTGGGAAACCCAGAGCTTCCAGGTGCCCTAGGAGAGCGATGTTGCCTGTTGTTGCCCCCAGCAATTCTGCTGTGGAGGCATGACAGCTGGCTTTTCTGTCTTAAACATAGCATTACATTTTGAGGGGGTTTTTTTTGTTTTTTTGGGGTTTTTTTTGCTATCCTGTGTTCTCTGTTGCTTACTTCAAGATTCCCCTTGTTCAGGGCTTTTCTAAGCCCATTTCAAAACATAGTGGAGCTTTGTAACTTCCTAGTTTATCCCTTAGGCTAGATCAGAAAATCATGGCTCCTGCCATTAGGCTAGAGGAATTATGGGGGAGAAAGGGTTTGCCCCTTTCCTCTTGCCTCCAGCCCTCAGAGCATTGAAGAATAAGTTTGTGAGCTTGATTGTTTTGCATTTTTTTCCCCTCCGTAGGGTTATTCTGGAGCAAAATGTGAATTCAGCAGCCACAGTACTTGTGGACAGGTGAAATGCAAGAAAGGGGAGCAGTGCATCCAGACATCATCTGGTCCACGGTGCTATTGCCCCAAGCTATCTGTGGGAGAGGAATGCCAGACAAACACGGGTTGTGCCAGTGCCCCCTGCCAGAATGGGGGAAGCTGCCACCCTCATTCTCAGCCTCCGTACTATTACTGTCAGTGCCCTGTTCACACCCAAGGCAGCCAGTGTGAACAGCCCATAACTTTCAGCCCAGAGCCCCGAGGATGTTTGGATTCCCAGTGTGCGGAAAAAGCAAAAGATGGCTATTGTGATGAAGACTGTAACACTCATGCCTGCCAGTGGGATGGAGGCGATTGCTCCCTGACAATGGAAGATCCTTGGGCCAACTGCTCCTCTTCATTGCGCTGCTGGATGCTTTTCAATGGACAGTGTGACGAGTTCTGCAACACACCTGAGTGCCTGTTTGACAACTTTGAGTGTCAGCAAAATAGCAAAACATGCAAGTAAGGCTTGATCCTGAGAACAGTTTCTCTGTGTCATTAATATATCTCCTGCTTTCAGTAATTGGTACACTTCGTGCCTGCTCCTTCCCTCTCTTCCATTGTTTCTGTTGCTGGTCCTTGCTCTTGCTGGAAGTTTGGCATCAGGGAGTTTCTGCTGCTTTGTGTACTTTTTGTCTATTTTTGGAAAAAAGTTCTGGAATTTGTATGCACTGAACTAAGTTGGTAGCCTAAGCAATGGTGATGCTTGATGGAAATGCTCTGCTTTCTTTGGAAATGTGAATAGGAGGCATTTCACCTTGTACTGGATTTTAATAGTACTGCCTCCTATCCTGAATTTCATTCCATACCAGCAATACCTCTGTTTTTATCCCAGCTGTATTTGCTACCTCTGAATGTGCTTTCTAGCTTGTTTGTTGTGGCACTTCTTTCTCTTCAATTGTGATAAATGTTACAGCTTTGCTGTGATGATTCTCTCTTGGTGAGGCAAGAGGTGTTACAGCTTTATCTTAGTGAACAGAATAAGCAGTTCTCTTCCAGTGATACCAGAATTGAACTACATGTTCTTGAGGTGTCCTGTGTTTCCTAATTCTACTCTGCCAAATCGCAGGCTTATCCTGGGGTTGTATTTCTTCTCCATATATCCTGAATATGGGTATTATTTTACCTCAAATGATTATGAAGAATGTAAGGCTTTGGTCCCTAGACTGCACATATACTGTCCAGAATGCGTATGTCCTATATGCTGCCTGTAACCCTTTCACTGTTCTAGGTATGACAAGTATTGTGCGGATCACTATGCAGATGGCCGCTGTGACCAAGGCTGTAATAGTGAGGAGTGTGGCTGGGATGGTCTGGACTGTGCTGGTGACAAAGCTGAGAAGCTGGCTGAAGGGACCCTGATTATTGTGGTCTTGATGCCCCCTGATGAGCTGCTGGGTGATGTTCGCAGCTTCTTGCGCACTTTGGGAACTCTATTGCACACCAATCTGAGAATCAAGCTGGACTCCCAGGGAAATCCCATGGTATTCCCATACTATGGGGAGAAATCTGCAGCACGGAGTCGGCGATCACTTGTGGTCATTCGCAAGCACAGAGAACTAGAGCAAGAGGTCATTGGGTGAGTGGATGCCTTTGTGTTCCTCTAGCCTTGTTTTGCTGGTAGCTCTTGCTTTTAGGTGTCTGGGGCATTCTGGACCTTCTGGGTCTGTAGTCTGTTTTTTTTATGGGAACAAATTCAGTGCTGGGGTGGAAAGATTAACTTAAAAACCTGCAGTTTAACCTAGTGTATTTGCAAAAGTGTTGCTGACTTCTGCGACCTCTTACTGTGTGTCTGCAGCACCAGGGTGTTCCTAGAGATTGACAACCGTCAGTGTGCAGAGGATTCAGAGCAATGCTTTCAGAACACAGAAGCTGCTGCAGCTCTCTTAGCTGCTCAGGCTATCAAGGGCATGTTGCCATATCCTTTCGTGTCTGTCCAAAGTAAGTAATTGCAGAGGGGAAAATTGCTCGTAGAGGAAGGAAGTCATCAAACCTGGGCTTGTAAAATTCATGCTTAGATTATTGATCATCATCTTAATATGTCTCACTGTTCAGTAGAGTTTCTGGAAGCTAACTTGTTCATCCCTCGTTATAGAAGTATATATGTGCAGTATGTTTATTCTGCTCTGAGTGGACATCTAGTTAGTAAGGCAGGACATTTAAGTTTGGAGCCTAGTCATAGTTCACCTGTAGAAACATTGATCTCTCATGTGCTACAGCAGTGTGCACACACTGCAGTGATCTGATCTCCACTAAAAGCCATTCAGGTACTCTTAAGTCATGCATGTATCTTTATGTAGATGAGCTCTCTCTATGCTGATTGAGTGTGGCGTGTCTTCAGCCAGCAAGACTCCTGTGAAAGGAGAAAGGTCTTCAGTTCAGCAGTCATATACTCTAAAAAATATTTTGAGAAGACGGGCTATATTCTTACAACAGTTGCAGCAAAGCCTAAACTTCCTCAAGCCTTTGCTCTAAATGCATCACGGTATAGAGACAATGTACTGTCTGTGGGGAAGAGACAGTAAGTGAAAAAGAAAGTATGTAGATTGAAGATCATTGTCTCCACTTTGTTAATCTCATTGTATTTTAACTGGAATTTTTAGGTGAACCCTTGTTACCACCGAAGACCCAGTTGCTTTACCTACTTGCTGTGGCAGCTTTGATCATCCTCTTAATCCTTCTTTTGGGTGTGATGATGGCAAAGCGTAAGCGCAAGCATGGTTCGCTGTGGCTCCCAGAGGGCTTTATTCTGCGCAGGGATCCTAGTAATCATAAGCGCAGAGAGCCAGTTGGGGAAGATGCTGTTGGACTCAAGTAAGTTTGCATTTAGGCCACTGAGAGTGTGTTTATTAGTGTGTTAGAGGCTTTTGAACGTGGTGTATAAATCTTCCACTAAAGGCGCTTAACTCCTTAGAGAAAGCTGCTTTTATTTCTCTAAATTTTAATACATCTGTTTTGGACAGAAGAACTTATAACTGTAATCTATAAAATGCTAGTAAGAAATCTGATCTCCTGGTTATGTTTGGTTTTTTGACACTTTTTACTTCAGCAGTTGGGTACTGTTTGCCTAATTTTCTCGTATAATAGGTGAGCCATTCTTAGGTTGATAGGTGACGATGAACTTCTACTACACGTAGCTCAATGCACTAAAGACATGACTCAGAAATAATGGAAAGCTTCAAAAGAATAATCCCATATATGCACTTTTGACTTTCCACTGAATCAACCAAGTTTTCAGTTCTAAATGCATTTAATGCCACCATTGTCTGCCTGAGATTCCCAATTTCTTAGTCCCTCTATTTGCAAGCAACCGAATTTGCAAGCATCCCATCCTTGGTCTCTGCAGGCTAGTGTAAGTATCAGTAGTAGCACTTGTTCTGCCTGCGAAGTGGTGTGTTCTCCTTGTTTGTTAGAAATCTGTCAGTCCAGATACCAGAGGGTAACCTGGCAGATTCTGGACCAACTGAACACTGGGCGGGTGATGGTGGACCTCAGCCAAAGAGAGCAAAGGTAAGGAGCTCAACAACTTGAATATTACCTGAAACAGCTAGTAAGGAAAACAGCTGCATTAACTTGTAGAGTATGCCCATTGCTCAAAGCCTCTCTTTGCTCAGGGATTTGTAATTGGTAGCTAATGATATCTGAGGAGCAAATCCTCAGGTTAACACTGCCACCACAGGCCAGTAAAGAAAACAGGTAACTTCTGTTCCCGTGTCCCCTCCCTACCCAGCCCCTCCTGCATCAAAAGGGAACAAGAACAGTGGTGTAATGTCTTGCAGTTCAGGCCTCATAACATATGGTGGGAGTGTAATAGATGAGAATGCCAAGCAGAGGTAAATGGAGACCATCATTAGCCTAAAACAACCACCAAAAACCTGAAGAAAAGCAAGCCAAAACCAAAACCCCTAACAAAACTAAGAAAACCCCAAGAACGTTCAGTGTCTTTGGCCTCCTGAGGAGCGTTTTGAAGTAACTGCTTATTTCCTGTGTTCAGGCTGAGGATCAAGCCTTGCTCCCGGAAGGTGATGAGCAGATAGATCAGCGCCAGTGGACACAGCAGCACTTGGAGGCAGCAGATGTCTGTGGGAGCATGTCACTAGCCCTTACACCACCACAAGCAGATCAAGAAGTGGATGTTCTGGATGTCAATGTCAGAGGACCAGGTCAGTAGTCTGAATGCCCATGTGTTCTGCTAGCCAGCCACCGACCTCTGTCTCTAATGGCTGGGACTGCTAACATTTAAAAAGTATGTGGAGTATACAGGAACATCAGCAGAAATTTTATGGTTCTCAAGGAAAGCTCATGTGTGTTCCAGAAAAGAAAGCTGGAGAGATTGGGTCATGATTTGTACCACGTGGAATATCATGTAACCAGGAGAAAAAGAGTTCACTTAGGAAGCACCTGCAGGAAGTACAGCTGTAAGATCTCCTTTATAACAATACATGCCTAAAACATATTGTCAGAATGCCATTGCGGCAGAAATTTGGAATGCATAATTGTGCCAGAAATAACGCCCAGCTTCTCCAGCTGGATCACTGCAGATACTTGTGCCAGCCTTCTAAGGAACAAGTTAGCAGGGTTTATACCTGAGGTGTCTGTTTTCTAGGGTGGAAGCAGGATGGCCTTTTCCTGAATAAGATGACTTCTGGCAGACAGTATAGCCTGATTTGCAGTGTGTGAAACATCTGTGCTGGAACAGAGCAGCAATACAGCAAGATTGTTAATGACTTTTTAAATTCATTCATTTATATCCTCAGCTTACAGTGATCAGCTTACTGACTTCATAACACAACTGTGAACTTTGAAGGAGATGTCTTTAACATGCGCACATGCACACAGTGTCTTCAATCTCAAATGACTAGATGCTGTAAGAATGCTTTGCTGCTTTTTGTAAGTGTAGCACTAAGGCTGTGTAACCTGGTAAGGGACTGGGTCATCTGGTAATAATCAATTCCTGTGTTCTGAGAGGCAAAGGTTGACCAACAACATTAACCTGGTCAGAAGAGCTGCAAGCATGGCTTTTATGCAGAGAGGTGATTCTGATTATATTGCTGCAATTGCTTTTCATTGGATTTTGTGGGAATATTTCCATGCAATTTAATGATGACTAGACCCATTCTCTCAGTTCCCTTCCATTGTCTTTTCTGCTTATTGACCCGTTAGGTCTCCTAAATGCAAAGCACAGGGAAGGAGTGATTTCTGTGTAACGAGTGTGAGAATATAAACCAGCAGTTTCTGCCAAATTTAAGCTCTCCTTTATTTCCCCCATTGAAGCTTCTAGTTGTGTGGCAAGGTGAAAGCTTTCCAAGTGCTGGCAATAACATTCTTAAGACTTCAGACTGCTTATTTTCACATTCACCCAAAGCTTTGTCGAAGAATAGCAATGGAATAATACTGACCTGTGAATTGCTTTCCTGCCATTCAGATGCAACTGTGACGCTTGCAGCAAGTTGCTGGAAGTGATTCCCCTCTGTGGCATCAGAAGCAAGCAGCTGAGTTACTGTTAGGGAAGAAATCATTCAAAAAGTCTGAGTAATGGGTTAGGATTCCTCACAGTTAATGTAGCTGTTCATCTACCCTGGCCACCTTCCTCTTCCTTTGTAGCAGAGGAAGGAAATAGGCACTTCATCTCTGTCTGGAGCAGAAGTCTCCTGAAGACTAGATGGCTCACACTCCAGTAATGCTTTGCTACGCCTGATTACAAAGGATGTTGAGGCTGACTGATTCAGGTGCAGGTGTGTGGGCTAGAGCCATCTGAGTTAGATCCTGGCCACAGGTCCAGGTGACAGGTAGAACAGTAGAGGTATTTTCTAGAGAGAGGAGGGGTAAGTTGAAATGCCTCAGTACCAAGGGGTTGTTCCCTCTCTTAATCCAGCACCTTTTGAGGTCTCTCGAGTTTAGAGGGATCCAAGAGGTCCAATCTCCTATGGAAGTATTGCCTGGAGACTTTGCCAGTGGGTTCTTTGCATCCCAGCTTTCAGTATATTGTGCTTGTGTAAGTCCCTCAGTTGTATCTATATGGTGAACTTCTGACTCCACCATGTGGCTCCGAGTTTTACATTTACTCGGGAACTGTCATCTTGATAGACAGCAAACAGAAGAGTCTTTATAAAATACTCCTGTCACCTTTGTCTCCCCATGCTGTTGTTTGTCTGTGTCCCCCAGAGTGGTGAGGACATTCTTTTCACTGGGGTTATTGTGAGTCTGTAACCAGGGTAATGCAATTATAGGCATAACTGGTCACACCACCTATAATTAAAACTGATGTTCTGTCCCTGTTACATGCCCCTCTTTTCAGTTACTAAAACTTCAGTGGTTCAGAACTGGAATTTTCCATGCTGTGTGTCTGCCTCCAGCTGGAGCCTTTTGGGTGCTTTTACAGCTATTTCAGAGAACAAGCTGGAGGGAGGAAAAAAGACATTGTGTCCACCTTTTTTTTTTTCCCTAGTAGTCCATCAAGCACTTAATTGTGACAGTCTAGCTGAATGTGCTTTTTGCTAGACTCATAAAACCCATGTGTGGCCAACTTAAAAAGCTCTGAAAAGAGCTGCGTGTACCTGAGAGACTTTTTTGGAGGGTTGCAGCTAATTTTTCCAAGATTTAATGCATACTATAGCTGTGTCCTTGCAGAGCAGCTAGGCATGATCATCCAGGACAACTGCAGTGACTGAGCAAGCAAGACCTTTCCTGTGAGTGCTTTTCCCAGGGCTGTAGTGCTGGAGAAAAGGAAAGTTCCTTTCTGTGCTCCGTCTCTCTACTCTTTGTGTCAGGGCAGTACGGAGGAGACCGCAGCCTGACTTGAATACTGAGAAGCATTCATTTGGGACAAGGAAGCAGAGCCAGCAGTGGGAGGGAGAAGCACAAAAGGAGGTATAGCCTTGGACAACAGGCAAGAGGGTCTACAGACAGGACTGGATCTTGGAACTGAACCCAGGCCTATATGTCAACACTTCACTGCCGTCCAGCAAATTCTGAGAAAGCAGCTCGGTGAAAGCCTGTGTGTCCTGCGATTGTAAGCCACTAGGAGGAGCGGGCATTCTGCTACTGGCAGCCCGACTGGGAGCAGACCTGGAGGCCACAGCCCTGCTGCTCGACACTGTGCCCTGTGGTAGAACGATAGATTGCTGGAAGATTTTGGAACTGCTCTAAAGGAGGGATCCGGGAAAGCTAAGTGGTCAGAAGCTGGGAAATGGAAGCAGGGCTCACACACTTCATGCAGTGCAGATAGTGCACGGTAGATTGAGAGGTGTGCAGGCAGCAAAGCTGTGTCTGTAGGGTCCAGCTGAAATCAGGCAGTTACCGGAAGATTGTCTTCAGTTTCTTTAGCTTTGCAAGCCACACTGGAGAAGCAAAATTTGTTTCCACTTTTGTAGAGCGCCAGTGGAGCACTTAGCACAGAGTGGTTTGCTCCTGCTGCAATCTTAGTCTGCCTTACTTTCTATGTGTCTGTGATGTGTGTGGAGTAAAACAGTAAAATCAGTAAGCAAGCATAAGCATCTATAGCTGAAGTCTTTGGTTTTGAGTAGTGAATACTTTGTAATGTTCAAAGTCTGCTGAAACTGAAGCACCTCAGTGCTTCTGCATGTGTAGGATGCTACTGGTACACTAGCGAATAATACTGGATCCTGTTCCCTGGTCCCTTCCTACAGTTCAGAGGTCCCTTCTGTAAAAGTTCAGAGTGTGCTTGATCAGTTTTAGGGCTCTGGTCATGGATGTTCATTAAAAGCAACAACTTCAGGGTCCTTCTTATGAGACCTTGGTGTGTAATAAATGTGAAGGCTTTTGTCTGCATTTCACTTCAGGTTAATACCTACAAAATGCCACCAATAATCAGTGGCTAGTTGTTCAATAATTTTTGTGTCAATTGTTTCTTTTCCCCAGGTATGCGATTAGAACATCCATGTGAATAGTTACACTTAATCATCTGAACTCTCTGAATTTTATAGCCTTTGCTTCTATGTAGGAATTTAGCTAGCCTCTATGTTTTGAGCAGCAAACTTTTTTTGGCTTATAATGATCTTTCTTATTTGAGAAGTATCTAAGTTCTGTTGGGGTTGAGGTAGGTATTAATGACCAGCTTGGAAAGAAAACAACTCACTAACTCTATTGGGCTTTATGATAAGAGAACAGGTCTGGGTTAAACTGACTGGAGGGATTGTCTGTAGCTGTAGGTGCTCAAGGGGAAAGGATTGTGAGAGGGTTTCCTTTCCTTTGCTGTCACCAGGTTACTATGATACCTCTTCTGTTGTAGATGGATGTACTCCACTTATGTTGGCATCTCTGCGTGTGGGCAGCTCCGATATCAGCGAGGAGGATGAGGATGCAGAAGATTCCTCAGCAAATATAATAACAGATTTGATCTATCAGGGTGCCAACCTGCAGGCCCAGACAGACCGCACTGGGGAGATGGCGCTGCATTTAGCAGCCCGTTACTCAAGAGCAGATGCTGCGAAACGTTTGCTAGATGCTGGTGCGGATGCTAATGCCCGGGACAACATGGGGCGCACTCCTCTGCATGCAGCTGTAGCTGCTGACGCCCAGGGTGTCTTCCAGGTACGGCTACTAAAGAACCCACTTAAGAGTAACTGTGCTCTGTAATTATATGAGTCAGCCCAAACTGCACTCTGTTCATTCTCAGCCTTGCTTCATGCCTTTTGCAGTGTGACAGCCAGGTGAAACTGTATTTTACATCCAGTTTCTTGAGATATTCATAGCTTGAAGAACTCAGGATGCATGAATCATGTGGCATGTATTTACTTGATCTTTTTGTCTCTGTTATCTGTTATCTGGGTCCTTACATTTCAGTGCTCAGGCTGCTTTTACGTTATAAAATTTCTCTTGAGTTTCTGCTTAATCCTTAGTTTTGGTCTATAGTGGTATTGAAAAGACTCTGTCTTCCCTGTTGGCCAGATCCTGATCCGTAACAGAGTGACAGACTTGGATGCTCGCATGAATGATGGAACAACCCCGTTAATTCTGGCTGCACGTCTGGCTGTGGAAGGAATGGTGGCTGAGCTAATTAATTGCCAGGCAGATGTGAATGCCGTAGATGACCATGGTAATGTGAACACGGACATACTGGGCTGGGCAAATATTTGTCATGGTGTGAGCAAGGAGGGATGGGCTGCTTCTCTCCCAGAGTGTGGGCTGCTTATAAATTCTGTGTCTAAATCAGATACTGGGCGCTCTGGTGGAAGCTTTCCCAGCAGGAATAGACTAAAATAGGGGCTTGTTTAGACAGTCATGGAAGAGAAGCAGAAATACGGGGTTGGATATGTGGGATTTTCTGGGCTGCAGACATGACTCTCTGCATAGTTTTTTTAAAAGATAAAAATAAAAAAATCCCAGAGCAAGTGCTGGAAATCCCATTGCGTCTTGATAACAGAGGGGATTGTCACAGCGTGGTGGCTTACAAAGTGGAAATGTGACCTTAAGGACATGTTCATGTGCTGTGAGCTGCACTGCAGTTGCTTTCTTCCCTCAGTATGCTCTGTTGATCTTGGTGCTTTAGAAAATAGCTCATTGATTTGTAACTTGAAGTTGTTGGATTTCCTTGCAGGTAAATCTGCTCTTCACTGGGCTGCCGCTGTCAACAACGTGGAAGCAACACTAGTGCTGCTGAAAAATGGAGCCAACAGAGACATGCAGGATAACAAGGTACGGTTTGGGTGTGCACAGCATGGCTGTGCTTCCTAACTCAAAGCATCCCTTTGCTCTTGGTAGTGAACTTCCTGGTGGAATAGTTTAGCCTCTGTGCTCCACTGCCATGTATAAAATCATCTCCTGTAATACATCTTTTTCAATGGGCATATGTCAGGGTGGATTGGTTGTTCTAGAAGACAATTAATGTGACACTGCATTAAACAGTGCCTCCAGGTGTTGCCGCACCATTAAGGGATTGTTAGCTCTAAGACAGTTCCCACACAGTGAAGCCGCTAAAATACTTATTCTTTGTGTTTCCAGGAGGAGACACCACTCTTCCTTGCTGCACGGGAAGGCAGCTTTGAAGCAGCAAAAATCTTGCTGGACCATTTTGCCAATCGAGACATCACGGACCACATGGACCGCCTGCCCCGAGATGTGGCCCAGGACCGGATGCACCACGACATTGTGCAGCTTCTCAATGAGTACAATGTGGCACACAGCCCTGCTGGGCACCCAGGTGCCATGCTGAACTCTGCTCTCTCCCCGGTTATCTGTGGCCCAAATAGGTCCTTCCTCAATCTGAAGCACACTTCGTTAAGCAAGAAGTCTCGAAAACCGAATGCCAAAGGCATCATGCCCACAAACCTCACCAAAGATGCAAAGAGGAGAAGGAAGAAGTCCCTCAGTGAGAGCAAAGGGCAGTTTTCGGAGAGCTCGGTGACCCTGTCACCAGTTGATTCCCTAGAATCACCCCATGCTTTTGCATCCGAACCAACGTCGTCTCCTGTGATGCCATCACCAGGCGTGTTACACTCATCACCCAGCTCACTGCTGACTGCTCCATCTGTGCAAGCTGCACACACAATGTCCTTCTCCAACCTTCATGAGATGCAGCCCTTAGGTCGTGGATCCAGCACAGTGCTCCCATCTGTCAGCCAGCTGCTTTCGCAGCACAGAACCAGCCCTCCTAACAGTGGGCTCAGCAGGCTCCGGCCAGCCAATGTTTCTGCCGAGTGGATGAACCGAATGGAGGTGAATGAGTCCCAGTACAATGAGATGTTTGGCATGGTGCCGCAGGTGATGCATTCACACCCCACTGTTTCTCAGCAGAGCAGTTTAGTTCAAGCAGATACAAAGCACATGGGAGTGTCCAGGGAGTCTCTGCCCCCTATCATGACTTTCCAGCTGGTTCCCAAGGGTGGCATAAATCAGCAAGCACTGCCACAGCAGGCCCAGTCAAACTGCGCTCAGAACATGGCTGGTCCTCTTAGCTCCATGTACCAGATACCGGATTTAGCTCAGCTCCCCAGTGCCTCATTCTCCATGGCTGCCCTCCCTCAGCAGGACGGGCAAGTGGCTCAGACAGTCCTCCCAGCCTACCACCAGTTCCAGAGCTCAATGGGGAAGTACCCCACACCACCCTCACAGCACAGCTGCTACTCCTCAGCCACAGAACGGACTCCTAGCCACAACCGGCACTTACAGGGGGAGCACCCATACCTGACTCCATCGCCTGAATCTCCAGACCAGTGGTCCAGCTCCTCCCCACACTCTGCCTCTGACTGGTCTGATGTGGCAACCAGTCCCAGTAACAATCAGCGTGGGCCAGCCACCGCTCACATGACGGAGCAGCAGCGGAACAACATGCAGGTATATGCCTGAAGGCTGGCCTGAAAGTGAAACCCGATTAAAAAGTGGACTCCAGAACTCATGAAGGTCTTCCAGAATGAAAATGAAGAACCATTTTAGTATCCAAGAGTCTTAATGAGCCTAGGCTGTTCTTTCCTTGGAGGGACTGTGGTCGCTGTAGGCGTTGTATGCTTTTATGCTAAACAGAGAACTGTAGAAGCTGGTGATGGAGAAGACCAGCTGAGTCGCTTCTAGCCAACTCCCATGCACCTTGGATGTGATTGCTGTCTGCACTGGATTCTCCAGTCTGCTTTGAAATATCTTCCACCATTTCTTTGGGGAGACAGCTCTTCAGCTTAATGCATCTCATGGTCATTTCTCCAGAAATTTAGCCAAAACCAGCTGTGTATCCTTATTTTGTTACTACTTCTGTTACCCACATAACCTCTCTCTGAAGCACCTTCTACTAGTTCTCCTTGAGTTCAAGTTGCCATGTGTTGACACAGCTCAGAGCTGCACCCACATTCGTAGACCCCCTCCTTCCCTCGGCTGCCCTTGCTCAGCAAGCGAGCCAGACTTCCCGAAACACCTGCAGGTCAAGCGACACCTTCTGTCACGCAGCTTCACCCTGCCATCTTCCAGAGTCTTTGTCTTATACAGACCCACTAACACCACTTAGTGTTCTCACTGCCTGCCCCCTGGGTATTATGAGATTATATATACATATAGTCTTCTCTTAGGTCTTTTTGTTGGTTGTATTTTTTTACCCCGCTCCAAAAAACGCTGGTCTGAACTGGTCTTCCCCCCACGGTGGCCTGTAGGCACATCTCTCCCGTGTTGTATGTCTTCCCTGAGACACACCTGTCCATTTTGACACACTACCCTCCCCATGCCCCTGTCCTGCCAGGTCTGTCCATGACTGTCTTCACAGGCTTCCATGCCGGAAGAGATGCCCTGCAATCCATACAGGCCTTTCGGGAAACTTGGTATGAGCATGAGTGTTTCAAAACCTTGTAACACCAGCTCCCAGCATTCTTGCACAGTACTCCCCACCCCTCCATCCAAGGGTGGCTGTGTCCCCTGTCCTCCAGGTACCATATGCTGCCTTGTCATGGTATTATCAAAAAGTGTCAAGAATGTCATTGCACGTTTGCAGTGTGTCTCCTTCTGTGTCGGGAACCATGTCCAGCCCTTTGAAAGGTGTCCCTTCCACTCCAGCCTTGGGACAGGGCTGCCTTGTCTTCCCCTCTCATCAAGGAAGTTGCAGCACTGCCTCCGGAGCAGGCTTCCAGCAGGAGCAGCATGCCTGAAGCCAGGAGCTGACCTTAAGCAGCAGACCAAATAGCTCAGAAACTGTTGCCCGATGCAGTTCATTTAACAGGTTTGGGGCTGTCCTCTGCTCTCAGCTTCAGCCTGTATTGAGATTTCCCAACTGAGATGCCCCATGTGCTCTGTGGGATGGTAGTGCCATTTGTACTGCAGCTTCCCCAAGATTTTTGGAGTTATAGAAGCCAGCTGTCACTGACCTTAGAAAAACAGCCACTCCTTCTGCTTTGTCCGCAAGAGTAATGCTTCCCTGAAGGGCTCTGAACCAGTCAGCAGCCGAAGTGAACATATCTGGGGTTGGTTTGCTCCTACCTCTTCAGGGGAACCCTGCAGACACATGTTCCAAAGAGATCAGGGCTGTCGGCTGCCGCTAAAGGACAGAGAAGGCTGCTCCCCTCTGAACAGTGGCCCTTCAGCATCCTACCATGTACAGTATTTCCTCTGATGCTTCTTTCCACTTTAATCAAGAGCAAAAGCTTTTTCTTTTGATTCAACTCAATGGTACATGAAGGCAAGGCCTCAGGAGGAGCTGGTTCCCGGGGCTGTCATTTTGGGTTGAAGTTTTTAACTCTGAAGTTACTGCTTTTTATGATGCACACAGCGTTCCCTGGCATACTTGCTGCAGTGCGTCCTGTGAAGTTTAGCTGCAACCGACTCAGATCTCCAGGCAGGAGCCTGTGAGCTCCTGGAGTTCTGTCCAGGTACCTGTTTCACTGCAAATAATGAAGTGTTGCTACATCGATGCTAAAGAAACAAAGGGCTTTTCCTTGTTAGCCCCAAATAACCAAGTGCCTTTTTTAATATGTGGCTACCTTTTACAAGATGAGTGCTTTCTGTGGAATGAAGCCGGCTTCATGCCTGGCATGTTAATACGATGGCCCTCTGCCTTTTTTTTAACTACTTGTAAAGATAATATCTCCTTAAGGTGGTATTTTATCTCATAAGTTGTAGAGTAACCATTCACACAGCAGCATTTTCCTATATTAATAATGGAAAATATTTGCTTATTTTTACATTTTTTATAAAAGTCTTTTATGAAAATAGTTGCTGCAAAATGTATAAGCAATTTTTATCCCCAGAATAAAGAGTATGTGCCCAGTGTCTGTGTGCTGCTGTTTTCATTTGTCTTCCTGGCTATCATGACACAGCCACTGGATTATAAATGAATCATCAGTGTTTGATGGCTGTTCAGACCCCTGGCGAGTGTAGGCTCATTCGGACCTGTGCAGTCCATATCAGGAGAGAGCTTTTGGGCCTCAGGGGTTCTCTCTGCTGTGGCTTTGCAGCACATGGGCCCCACCACTTAGCTCCATCCAAGGGAGCTGTGTTAGGGAGCCGAAAACAGCCTCACTGGGGCTGGAGATGCTGGGTCTTGGTTAGCTTAGAAGGGGACAGTAACCAGCAGCCAAGCAGCTGGGCTTACTGGGAAGGATGGGGAAGGACTGGATTGGGGTCTTTTTAAGATGCTTTGAATAAGAGTTCTCACTTGCCTGGGAGTCTGGGAGCTGGAGAAGGGCTGGTGCTTTTGTGTGGCATTTAGAAAGGTGGTGAGCAAATGTGGGTCAGGTCATGGTTAGTGGAACCATGGATTTGCTCCTTTCAGGTCCTGCTTGTTTCCCTTACTGTTTTTCCAGATGGTAGGAGGACCCTCATCCCTGGAGCTGGGGCTGTCTCCCTGACTTTGGCTTGGCAGCTGGTGCATCAAGGTGCCTAATTCCCAGCCTCTGAAACGGGGAATCATGGCTCCTGCATGCTATTTTCAGAAGTGAAGTTTGACTTGGAACAGTTGACAGCAAGCTGACAATGGCTGCCTTCCTGTATTTTGAGCAGGGAGGTGCCACTGAAGCCCTGGGCTCCACTAGTGCTCACCTGGCCAGTTTCCAGCTCTCCCTGTGGACTGGTATGGAGCTAGTAGCTGAATTACGATGCCTAGCAGGGATAAAGCTGCTGGGGGCATTTTAAAGGTTTAATATTCAAACAGCACAGCTCCTTTGTCTTCCAGTAGAGCCGGGCAAGTAAAAATCTCTGAGAGGCTCTCATCCATGTTCTCGCACAGGTTGCACATCTGTGCCAAAGTTTAGCAAGCTCTGCTGTGTCTCTGGCACAGCCGCATCAAGTTTGACAATGCTCAGGTTGAGACTTGACATTGCATCTCCTCGGGGATGGCGCATGCCTCTTCCCCTGCCCAGAATGATGAGGGGCTTGTGAAAACTTGTGTTGCATCCAAGTAAGTGTAGTTGAACCAGCCAAACAGGGAGCTGGGGCATCCCTTACCTAACTGAGGAATAATAGAGTAGCTTCAGGCTCCTTTGGGGAACATTTTCATGTTTTTCCACAAAACAAGGATGAATTCTGTCTTCTGGGGGTTGCTGTGTTTGAAGGATTTCCCCCTTAGATAGAGCAGCTGGTCTCCTCTCCAAGGAGAAGAAGTAGCAGACAGCAGCTGCATTGGGACACAAGAAGGCTTTTACCCCTTTGATGCTGGAGCATGCCTAGCAAGCTGGCTGAGCCTTGAGTGGTCTTGGGAAGCAGCAGCAGCTCTAGCCTGGCTGTGTGGGTAAAGGAGATAAGTCTGATCCTCCTCTCACCCCAGGGCAAGAGCCAGACCTGCCTCTGCACGCTGGTGTGGAGCTGCTCCCTGTGGGTGTAGCAGTGCTTGCTGCCTTCGTGTTTCAGTAAATGCTGCCACAAAGGAGCCGTGTGAGATCCCCCGGGGGACATGACCTGAGCCAGGAAGTCAGCAAAACCAGCTTCAGCCTGCTGCAAGCCCTCCATGTTGAGGGAAGGTGGGCTCAGCTCTGGGGATGGATCCTCTGTGGGTAGCTGCCTCCTGGGTAGCTCCCGGTGGCCTCCTCCAAGGGTCTTAGAGAGGACTGGAGGAAGGAGAGACAGGCATTGGCCATAGCTGGCAGCAGCAGGGCACTGGGCAGCTTTGCAGGAGGCTGCAGGACAGGCAGCATGAGGAGCTCTCAAAGCTGCTTTGCTATGTTAGGAGTCAGCAAAGTGGTGCTGCAGAGCAGCATGATCAAAGCAGTAGGATATATGAGCTTCATCCTCCTCCCACAGGTGCAAGAGGACAGCCCGGGGTGAGAAGCAGGGACAGTGACAGAGAAGGCTGTGCCAGACCTTGCTGAAGAGTTCTGGCTGCTGGGGCAGGGGCAGCTCTCCTGTGCTGCTCCATGCC